TCAAGGAACAAACTAGAAACAATGCTATTTTAGACTTATTGTTAACTTCAAATGCAGAAATGATTGAGAGGGTGGAAATTGGGGGAACATCATGGTGCAAGTGATCATTGCTCTATCAGGTTCAGTGTTCTGCTGCATATGGGGATAATAAATAATGATATTTCAGAAAAGCAAATTTTGAAGGGATGCGACAAGAATTATCTGTTGTAAATTTGGCATCCGAGTTATTTGGAGACACTGATCAGATATGAAAAATTTTTAAAGATTAATTTTTAAATATTCAAGGTAAACATATTCCCTATAGAAAGAAAAGGGTAGCTGCAAGTAAAAAACCAGATTGGTTCACAAAGAGCTTAAGAGATAAAAATTAAAGAAAAGCATCAAAAATTTAAGAAATTTAAATTGACTGGTATGACAGAAGATTTAGAAGATTATAAAAAATGAAGAAAGTTGTTGAAATGGGAAATTAGGACATCAAAAAGGATGTATGAGAAAAGGTTGGCTTTCAGTAAGGATTTCTTTAAACACAATAAGGTAAACAAAATGTTAGGATGGGGTAGGACCCTTGAGGGATGATAAAGGAAGGCTCGTATTCTGATAATTATGAGATGGTTGGGTTATTAAATTTTGCTTTTTCTTTGGTTTTTACAACTGAAGATTTGAACAGTATTCCACATCTTGAACAGTTGATAAAAAGAAACGAGATCAAACAAGATAACTGCATTAATTCTGAGCTGGTTAAGAACAAATTGGGAAGTTTAAAGAACGATAAGGCTCCTGGGCCAGATAATATTTCCCCAAGGGTTTTGAAGGAGGTTAAAGATTGGATATGTGATCCACTTTCTACTATTTTTTGTCAGTCCTTCAATAGTGGGCAGGTACCAAAGGATTGGAAGGTGGCTAATGTAACTTCTCTTTTCAAGGGAGGTGATAAAAATTTTCCCAGTAATTATAGACCCTGAGAAAAGATTTGGAAAGTCTGTTAAAAGATGCTTTGCAAAGTAATTTAACAAAGTTTAGAATTTTATTAGATAGTCAGTATGGTTTCAATAAGGATTTTTATCTTGCCTTATAAATCTTTTGACATTCTTTGAAAAGGTTACTGCAT